TTTCAAAGACATTTCTTTCTCATGGCTGATCAGTAAGGTTTTAGGAAAGCACGCTGCCTCCTCCTATTTCGGTTGGTAACTAGAAAAGCTTTACTGCAGGAGACACTTCCAGGTCCTTGTCTCGGTCCAAGAAGCCAATATGTGTAATCCCAAAGTTATGTTATTAGAATCCCATCAAGTTGGTTCCAATCTACCACTTCCAATGCAACCCATGGCGAAAATAAAGGTACAAGATTGTATTTTCAATCACTGGGAAGTTGAGGGGCTCTATGTCCAGCCACGAAGATGGCTTTCTGGAACCAAGAGTGACCCAGGCTGAGAATTGTGGGAAGTAGGTGATCATTGTGAGCTGAGCTATGTGAGTGACCTGCATTTACCTCTGCCATATGGAGAGAGGACATGCAGAGAGAATAATCTGCATTATGTAGTATCTAATGTTTTGGGGGGTCTGGTGCTTCAGCTCTGATGTAGTCTTTCAAGCCCCAGGAAGTCATGGCCTCTATCTTGAGGCTCGATCCCAGCTGGCGGTGCGGAGCATTAGTTCTTCTCTCCTGTCTCGACCCGGCTCACCTTAAAGAGCAGCAGGTGTAGGTTACCAGGGAAACACGCATGCCACCTTCAGAGACTGTCATCAGCACCTCAGCTGGGCCAATACACATTTCTTAAGGCCAACTGAAGGATAAAGAAGTCCTAGCCAGCTCTGTACAGAACAATAGGAGGATATAGGGTTAGGCACAGTCAAAATGGAGACAGTTGTTCTTCTTTCAAGGAGAGCTGTTCAGGTGGTCCTCCACACTTTACCTGTGTTGCTTAAGGTGCTTGATTGGCTCTTCTGCAGCAGAGAATACCCTATGCTAGGGCTCTCGACTGAAAAATCTTAATTTGAACCAGCTTATTTTTGTTATTTCAAAGAAAATGAGTAAAGCACCAGGAAATTTCTTCTACGCTAGATGAGCCAGAGAACAACTCTCAGGAGAGAATTTCTCAACAGAAAGGCCTTTGGGCAGTTGGCTTAGCGGGTCCTGAGGGTGCCCACTATCAGGCGAGTGAAAGCGGGTGCCACCATCCTTTGCCCTCCACACAATCCCTGCACACATGGACGAGTGGCCTTAGAAGGTCCGGGATGCCCACTCTGAACCGTGCCAGCTGGCCTGGCTGTCTCATAAGCAGAGCACTGACCTGCACGAGGCTGCAAAAGTGGGTCCATTTTAAGTCAATTATTCCAATTCTCGAGGCACTGGGTGGCCTCAGGAGTGACTGAGATGCCATCTCCTCAGCAAAGTCACAAGCAGAAGAGGATCAGCCAGGCCTTCCCGTCCCAGATCTGTCCTCAGCGCCTTCACCTGCACACCTCCCGCCCTGCCAGCTTCTACCAGATGGGATTGGTGGACACCATTTGGTCACAGGGAGGGAGGGGTAGACTGTACAAAATTCCAGTTTCCTCAGAGCTG